GGCGGCGGCGGGCGGAGCGTCGCCGGGACCTGCGTCTGGGTCTGGGGTCTCCGCCCGCACCTCCTGCCCCGGAGGTTTGAGGCTTCCCCAGGGCTTGACCTGTGCTGGTGGAGCTCCCGCGTTTGTCCCAACGCCTCACTAGACCCGTCTATTAAGGAGCAGGAAACTTCTGGTGCACCCCGCTGGGGCTGTTCCAGGGCACCCCAGTGTGTGCTGGGCTCCTGTCTGGGTCCTCACCTGCGCGCTCAGGATTCAGCGGTGCGGCAGACACACAGCAAAAGGTTCGATCACGGCTTTATTTACAGGGGAAAGGGGAAGGCACAGCCCAGGGAGAGAGGGAAATACGAGTTAACTAGTGTCCTAGCAGGCCTGCTGAGCGGAGCTCCAGCCGCACGGGAACCATGGAGAGCCAGAGCACCGGCGCCAGCCACCAGGCCCAGAGCGCCCCAGAGCCCACATGCTCGGTTTCCTCCCACTCCGCCCTCATGACCCGGTGCTTCTCCTCGGCATTGGGGTGGGATTTGTGGTTCCAGCCTCTGGAGTGGGGGTGGAGCCCATGAGACCTGTATCTGTTACGGAACCTTCCGGGGCCCTGCTCCAAGGCTGGGCCAGCTGGAGAAATTCAAATAAATAAAGACAACAAAGGACCGCACTGAGTAAGACGAGAATCGCGATGTCAGTGGGAAGAAGCTAGAGTAGGAGCCCGCCGGAACAGCGCGGGGCGGCTGCCGAAGCCACCGCGCGCCCTCGAGGGTCGGAGCCGACTCAGGCCAGAGTCAGAGGCGCGAGCCGAGGGGCAGCGTGTAAGGAACCCCGGAGTGTCTCCCACAAGGGACCTATTAATTGCAAAGTGGGGGCTCCTCGAGGAAGGTTCCCAAGATGTCTGTGGCCCCAGTGCAACAGCCCGAGGTGGCGGTGGGGTGCTGAAGCCTATGGCATTCAGCCCACGTCAAAGAGCGCCACAAAAATGTGAATCAGTGCCCCTCTTCTCAGAGTTTGTTTTGAAGAATAGAGCAGCTTTTTTTTTTTTTTTTTTAAGATTTATTTATCTATGCGTACAGAACTGGGGCACAGGCCAGAGGCTCAGGGGCGGTGAGAGGCTTCACCAGAGACAGCGGGAAGCAGAACAGGCAGATCGTCGAAGTACACTGCTGAGGGGGCAGCAGACGGTCAGGAGAGGTCTGGGCGGCCTGTGAACCACCTCCCGGGCGGGGAGGGAGCTCACGCGGAAGAGGCATTGGCTTCTCAGTGCTGCGCTGTAACGTGCTGCGCCACCAGGGGGGGCCTGGAGTAGCTTTTTTCCAAACAATATGTTCACATATGGAGGGTTTATTGTTTCTTTTTGGGTAACAGCTTTAGATGGGATTCACATACCACCAGCATCATCCCTCTAGAGTGGACGGTTCTGTGTACGCAAAGCATATTGACAGAGGGGGCAGACATCACACCACTGGAGCAAGAACCCCTCAAGTCCCCCATTCCTCCATCTGGGCAGTTAATCTGCTCTCGATCTCTGTTATTAGCCTCTCGTGGACATTTCATATAGTGCTGGCTTGTATCACTTAGCAGTGTAATCAGAGTTCATTCACGTGTAGAATGGAGTAACACTTCTTCCTTTTCATGGCTATGTAATATTCCACGCTGTGGCTGTGCTGCCATTCATTCAGCCACTCTTTGGTGGATCAACACAGAGGTGGTTTCTTCACTGACTGCTGCGAGCAGAGTCTCTCAACGCATCCCCTTACACGTGTCAGTGTGGCTGTACACCTTCCTCAAGGGCGTCCGCCTCAGAGTGGAATTGCTGGGCCACGTAACAACTCTACCCTTAGTCATTTGAGGACCTGCCAGATTGTGTTCCGTAAGCTCCTACTAGTTCATGTCCCCACCAGCAGTGTGTGGCGGCTGTACACCCGCATCACTTATTTCTGATCGGCATTTTACTGTGTCTTTGATTTGCATTTCCCTGAGGACTAGTGATGAGGAAAGTCTTCTCATGTGCATAGTTGCCATTTGGGTCTTTTTTTTTTTTTTTTTGACAAGTGTCTATTCAGATGTTTAGCTCCTTTCAATACTGGGTTGTTACTTGATTAATGGAGATAAAAAGTCTTTGCGGCCCTCCCTGGTGGCGCAGCGGGTTAAAGCACAGCACTGAGAATCTGAAGCCACTTCCGCATGAGTTCGATTCCCGCCTGCCCCGGAGGAGACCACATGGCGAGCCAGACCTCTCCTGACCCGCCCGCTGCTCCCCTCAGCAGTGTACTTCGTCAATCTGCCTGTTCTGCTCCCCACTCTGTCTCTGGTGAAGCCTCTCACCACCCCTGAGCCTCTGGCCTGTACCCCAGTTCTGTATGAATAAATAAATAAATCTTTAAAAAAAAAAAAAAAAAAAAGTCTTTGCAAGCCCCAGTGAGAAGTGTCTTATCAGGTATCTGCAAAAACGCCCCTTCTGGGCTGTCTTTTCACTTCAGTCTCCTGTTGAGATGGTGTCCCCTGAGGCACAAAAGCTTTTCAGTTGGAAGATGTCCACTTAGCTGTTTCTCTTTTGTTGTGTGTGTTTTGATGTCATAGCTAAGAGGTCCCTGCCTAATCCAAGTTTACAAACTCCGTACCCCACCTCTTCCATGAGTCTGCCACCCATTTTGAGCTACGGCTCGAGGTGGTGTGACATTGGCCTCCACCTGCACTCTCTTGCGTGTGGCTGGCCCACTCGGCCCTCCCTGGCCCTCCCAGCACATCAGTTGAAGGCGAGCTTGTTGCCCATGTAAGTTCTCGGGCAGCTCGTTGAAAACAAACTGACCATGATGAAAATGGTCACCTCTGGGCTCTCGGCTTCAGCCAAGTCTCACCTCCAGCGCCTCAATATCCTGGTCACTGTGGCTTGTAGTAAGTTTCGAAACCAGAGAGAATGAATTCCCCTATTTTGTTCCTCTTTTTTGGGTGGCTTGGATTGTCCTGTGTCTCTTGCATTCTTAAGTAGTCATTTTTCTTGTTCATAGATTTTTTTCTATTTAAACTTTTTAACATTTGGTCAATGAACTGGTTGTCTTGTCCAAATTTTTGAAGATGCATCTCTACTTAATTTTCATTGCTGAGCTCACGCATGTCGCAATGACTTTCATGTGTCCAGCTTTCCCCACCTAACTCCACGTTGGAACCTCCCTATATTGTAGGCTTATTTCACATAGTTCAGTTATTTTCCTACTAGTCACTTCATTTCTAAATATTACTGTTAGAAATAATGCCACAGTGGCTGAGCTCATTCATAATATTTGGGGAGTCTGGGT